TTTCGCTAAAAAATTAATAATAATGTTTTATATTTCAAAAATTTAATTTTTTTGTTTAAATTCTTAAACTCAAGAAAAAAATATTGCTTTTATTGTTGTTCTAACTAACAATTCACTTTTTAAAAACTTGTATACAAAATTTATTGTTTACACGCAAATTTAATTTTACTTTAATTAATCTTTTTATTTCCTTTTTGGCACATACTATTTTTGAAATCAAAACTATAAATTTTTTAATATATTTTTTAACTGTAATCACTTAGACACTATATTCATATCATAATTTAATAAATTTATTTCAAAACTTTCGTCCTCACCCGATGTGCTTGTTCCGCAATTTGATGGTGTCCGACTTGGACAACTTCTCGCTCATCGCCGATTCCAGTTGTTCACGCGTGAAAGACATTTTTAAGGAACTTTTTACTTGATACAAAACTTTTACTTAAAACACTTAATAAATTCAATACAAAACACTTTGGTTTTACTTTCAAACTAAATAAATCGCTGTTAACGCGCTCACAGCTTGTGAACAACTGATTTTACAAAATTGCCGTTGCACCGAAGTCGTCAAATGACTCGCGTGATTTCACACACTGTTACCTTAACATATGTATGTGTGTATAGGTATGGTAGATACGAGTGTTTGTTTGCCGCTAAAATGCTGTTGTCTTATTCCTCTTCCGTTGGTGGCACTTGTCCGCTGACAACGACACGCTCAGCTGCTTAGATTTGCTTCTTGCCAGTGAATGACGAATGCGGTGCGGCCGGCCAGCGTTTTTATATGTGCCGCTGGTGTTAGCGCCAGATGGGCAGGCAGGCCCGGCTAGGCAGCGAGCGAGCGATAGGCGGCAAACACTTAGCAAATACACAAAGGCAAGCGGGCGCGCAAACAAACCGACAGACAGGCCCGGTTAGCGTGCGCTTTATTGCCCGCAAGCGTTCTATATGACTTCTACGTGTGTGTTTGTGTGACTGTTGTTGAAGGCAATACTTGCTCTTAATGCTAGCATTAAGGCGTTCACTTCCCAGCTTGCCGCTTTTTCCTCTAATAATGATAGCGATGGCGTTGTGGGCATATGGCTTGGATTTTGAATATCACCACGTCATATGTACGCAGCGCTACGAGCTTTACAACGTACAAGGCGTTGAGTCTATTGCCAGTGGGATTTACTAGTGAGTTGTTTATTGTTGTTGTTTAAGTACTCAAATCTCGAAAAAAGTGAGTGTACTCAGTATTCGCGCTGCTGATAAGCGAAACTCAAATGAATCTGCAATAAAACCGCAAAAATTATGATGGACTAAATGTGGACAAAGTGCGATAGCGTGACAAATTGACCGTCGGACGTTTTACGCGGCACAAATTTGTGCATGTGATTTTGTGGGCTGAATGAGCGATTAGCTTTTATTTGTGGTATGAAAATCACATTCTTGAGATATTATTTTCACACAGATCTTCATAATTATTAAATTAAATAATACTGGAGCAAATATAAAATTATTTTCCAATTATTCACACGCTTAACAGCTTTTCCGATCCGTTATTGTAACATTGCTTTAGGTTTCGTTGCAACGATTCTGCGGTTACAACAATTCAATGCTTTACAACATGTGGAGCACGTGTGGCATATATGTACATATGTACTTCACACTGATAACCACGAAAGAAATTACACATACTGTATTTATGTATACGAATGTGTCCGTTGATATCTTCGAGCGGAAATTTTCGTAAACGTTATCTATACCGGCGATTACTTACATCGACTCTTTAATGTAAAAGAAATTGTAAATATGTTACATTAACATTAGCTGCTAATTGCTACGGTCAGATGTTACTTTCGTCGGTTCTATAATGTAGGATAAATTTTATGTTACATTAACATTACCTGTTAGTTTATCAGAGACCGTTTGCTGCTATTTGCTACAGTAGCTGTTAATTATACAGACTGGAAGCAGATTAAGGCAACTGAACTAATGTCGTTTAAAATTAAAGAACATTAAAAATAACAACTACAAAAATAATAATATAATAGCAATAATAATAATATAGAAAACCAAAATCTTCATAAATAATTGCAAGAAATCACATAAAAAATTAAAAAATAAAAAAAGAAATAGTAAGAAGGTATAAAAAGCTATGTTTATATACAAATGTATATGAACAGGTAACTTACGTCGAGTATGAAAGTTTGAGATGTAAACATGTCGGAAGGGTAATATAAGTTGAAATTATGCAAAGGCTTTAATAATTTCATTACGAAAACAAAGTTGCTCGAAACAAACGGTTCAGTGTTTCAATGTTTGAATAAAACGAAATTAAAGTGCTTTTTCATAGGATTGATAATCTTAAAAAAAATTAAGATCTTATGGCAAGGAACTTAAAAAACAACAAAGTGTTATCTACACAAAAAGTTCATTTCAATGACCTAGGGTCGAAGGATAAAAAATTTGCGATTTTATTGCCTTTAAGAAATGTTAAATTTTACTCAAGATTTTGGTCGGTAGTCACTGCAAAAAATTAAAAAATCCAGCTGATTGAACTGAGTGGCTACAATTTATAAAGATATAACTCAAAAAGTACTTGAGTTATCGATTTGAAATTTGAATATATTGTCTTTAAAGGTAAGAACTATGGAAAAAGTAAAAAATTAATATAATTTCTTATTAGGTGGGCCTCTTCAAAACTAAAAAGACCAAAATATTTGTATAGAATTACAATAAGCGTTTAGTATTATCATTAACATGGCATTCAAACCACTGCACATAAACAGATGTTGAAATACAAATGTTGTTTTTTTTATTTAATGTGGAGTACAATTAACACAATTAAGTTCTGTTTATAACATCATTCATATGACCTCCACGATTTTTTTGGCAGGAACGAATTCGTTGAATCCATTTTTCGATTACTTTTTTCACTAAATGAAGTCGTATGTCATAAATAGATCGTTCAATATTGTCATCTCAAGCCTGAAAAGAGTCTGGTTTATTACTAAAGATCAATGACTCAAATAACGCCACAAGAAGTAGTCTAAAGGTGATAAATCTCGACTTCTTGGAGGCCATCCAATGCCACAATTTCTTGAAATAATCGAATCTCCAAACTATTCTCGCAACAAATCAGTTGTTGCACGTGCTGTGCGGCACGCGACCCCCTTTTGTTGGAACCAGATGTTGTCAACATCAAATTCATGCGGTCATAAAGTGGCCAATGGCTTCAGTTCTTGAGTGAGCACAATTTTATATGGACTCAAACCCAAATCCTTCATCAAAATCGTCCAGGTTGTGATTTGAGACAGTCCCAATTCTTGAGAACGACTTGGAACGGTTGTAATATTTTCATAACTTCCAGCGGTTCTTTGTCTAATTGTCACTTGAACATTTAGTGAAGAAAATGTACGCTCAAAACTTTCAATAGTTTGACGAATAGAGCGCTCAAAAAATTGCAATTGAAGGAAGGTTATTTTGATATTAAAATTGAGTAATGTTCTTCCATGAAGAAGTTGTAAATATTACTGAATACAATGAGAAAGAATTACAGACCAATACTAAAAATTGCCACAACGATACTTATCATCCTCACTGATAAACCTTATAGTATGTAAAATGTAAAAAAGAAATAGAATTCTATATTAGTAAAGGTTCTATTCGATACCTTCAGTTTTGGTATAAAATATGCAAGCTGTGGATTTCCTGGATGACACCTATGAAGATGATCTTACAATTGCTAAAGAGCTCTCCATCAAATAGTGTATTTATAATATTGTGATCTCATTATGTAATTTTTAACTATAGTAGTTGCCTCCGTGTGGTGCGGAAGCATGGACAATCACATCATCTGATGAGTCGGCCTTAGCAGATTTCGAGAGAGATGTTTTGCGGAACATTTATGGTCCTTGGCGCATTGGCAACGGCGAATACCGCAGTTAATGGTACAATGAGCTCTACGCGATAGACGGCGAACTTAACATAGTTCAGCGAATCAAGAGACAGCGGCTGCGCTGGCTAGCTCATGTTGTCCGAATGGAAAATAACTCTCCAGCTTTGAAGATTTTCGATTCAGTACCCGCCGATAGAAACAGAGGAAGAAGTAAATCTTCACTGGGAAAAGAAATCGTATTCTTTTTTTAATTTTTTTTTTGTTTTGAATGAAAATAAAACCCGCATTGTCTTTTTTCTTGAAGTTGTTTATTTTTTGCTTTATTTTTCATGATGTTTAGTGTTTTCGTTATGCCTTTAAAATTCTGCTTAATTTCGGTTTATTTTCTGTTTACTGTTAGTATGCGCTGCTTGCTTTTTTGGGAGAGTTCATTTGTTTTACGGTTTCAAATTTAGCATTTTGAGAATTCAAATATTTTATTTCTTGTTTATACATAGTACGGATACATATGCATGCATGTAGTCGGTTGTTTGTATAGTATATAATTTTAATTAATCAAATCTATGTATGTTTACAGTTATCAATTTATATGAGCGGTTATGTATTTCATACACACACGTGGTGAGCATAAGCAGTTAATATGGTTGAGTATTGAAAAGTTTGGTTTATTTTTTGTGTTTGTGGCAAATTAATTTATGTGTCTGTAATCAATGATTTTTTGTGGCAAGAAATTTGTTTTATTGTTGTTGGTTATTGCTGAAAAAAGATTTAGTTTCATGTGAGGTAAAATATTTTCAAAGGATGAAAGATCAAAAGTTGTAAGCTATTATTGTTGTTCTTGTTTTTTAATGAATTTTTGCTGGCAATAATGTTTAGTAGTAGTTGTTGTTGCGCTATGGCGTAATTCATAAAGGTGTATTTTTTGCAAAATTTTATTTTCTGTTAGTGTTCACTGTTGTTGTTTTTGTTTTTACATAACAACTAATCTTTATTCTAGTTATGGCATTGTTTTGAGCTAAAGAAAAAAGGATTTCTTGTTGCAATTATTTTTTAATTTTTTTATTTTTGAAATTTCATAGTTTTTTCTATTGTTTGTTTGTATGTGTGCGTGGGTGTATCTTTTCTGTTTACAATTCAATAAGAAGCGTTTATTATTTTAGTGTGGGAAAACTTAGTGGCGCGACCTTTCAACTTTTACTTCGAAAAGTGCCTATTTTACAGTGGCAAAGCAAAAAAATGCAGCAAAGTAGAATGCTTACGCACACAAGCACATAATGGCTTGCATGTTTGTATTTGTTGTAGCTTTACTTTTCATTGTTTTTCGTTGGCTATGAAATTTGTTGCTATTGTGGCTAACTGTTTTTTCTGTTGAGCGGGTAGGGAGCAGGTGGCGTTACAATGCAGGAATTTCAGTTTTGCAATTTCTGCTTTTCATTTAGTTTTTTCTGCTTATTTATTCATATTATTTTATTTTTTATGTATATTTTTTTTTCAAAACTACTTTTTGCATTCAATGTACAGCTTAAAATTTTTCTTAAATCCAGTTGCTTTAGTTAAATACATTGTATGCTGTTTTTGTTGTTGTTTTTTTCCAAATTTTAATGTTTTTGCGCATTTCACCGTTAGTCTTGCATAACGGTAATTTTCTTTTAACTAGTTATGTATGTATGTATATATGTTTTTTGGATCAAGAACACTTTTTATCATTGCATATAATACATAATCACTTGTATGTGTGTGTACATGTGTGTAAGTACGTGTTTTTTACTGCTAATTCTACTTTCTGGCTTTAAAACGCACACACAATGCCTGTAAATACCTGCTTATGTATTTCATTTACTATTTATCTGTAGATGTACATATATATTGTTGTATGTATGTGTATA